GAGATGACTGGATTTGATGGAACATGTTATGCCTAATTTTACATGTATGTATATATTTTTTCTGCAAATCTGGCCTATTGTGAATACTGCTCATGCCTTCTTTCATCCAGTCTGTCATAGAGTGTAATGGATTTAGAAACAGCTTACAGCCTGTTGCAAAACCTTGAGCCGAGGTAGGCTATATTTAGCATGTGGGATAAGGGTCTTTAATTAAAAGTTAGCGAGGTCCACTCTTGGGACATTAACATGCATTGCTCTGTGTTGTTACGTCAAAATGAACATTTTAACAGTCTAACTCGTACCCGTAGAATTAGGACATTTTCCTTTAAAGCCAGAAATCTGTGCTTTTAACGTCAAATTTTGACATTCATTATAGTGATGGGGGGGAAAAATAAAAAGGTTTGTCATTTATAATATGAAGTAAATTGCTAAAAATGTGTCTTTTTTTTTTTTTTTTAGGACGAAATCATAATTGTTACATCCCTGAAGATTAGATTAAAAGAATTGTATTATTACAATTCTTAGCCTGGTTTAGCAGCCCCCTGATATCCTAACTGATTGATATAAATTCTCTGTCCAACATCACAACTCTTTACAAGAGCCCAGCGCTGGTACAGAGAAAGCAAGGAGGGGTGTGTCTCAGGGGGATTAGACCTGGATCAGCATTAAAGAAAGCCTTTGATTATGTCTGGAATATTACCCGGTTTGAGTCGAGGCAGGCTGAGTGTCCCTCGAGGGATTAATGCAGAGCCAGCCCACCGCTACATGCTAACCTCGGGAACACACAAAGGAATCTGACAGGATCCTGATTGGGGTACTTGAAGGGTTGGAAGACGTGAAATATAGCACCAAGCTCCTGGAAGGCTACACGGCCCTGTGGTTTGGGTCTAAATGTTGCTCTTAAATTTGTACAAAGTAGCTTATCTAGTCTGACTAAAATGGTAGATCTGCAATTATTTTAAATTTGCACACTTCTCAGTTTGTATCTTCCGGATTTTTATATGTGCATGTAAATAATTACTCACTATAGACTGTTTGGATCATAATTACAGTCTTTGTCAATTTTGTAATGAAATTTCTTATTTTGCAGTCATAACATCAACTTTATTTGAAGGGCATAATATTGACATGGCTCTTCCATAAACGTGACCTAACACTTGTCATGATCATGGACTCCTCACAAATGTTTATGACTGATATTAAGAATTAAAGTCAGTAACTAATAACACACTTACTGCAAAGTTGACATTATTTAAAATGTTTTGACAACTTGGCATTAACAAAGACGAATATTTATTTGTAAAGACAACTGGATGCTAACCAAGAAATCATAATCTGTCATAGATGCATCATGATGGGTGTTACTTATGGTCTCATGACAGCCAAAGTTAAAACTAACAACAGATTACAGGACAATGCAATAGCAACGCATAAAGCTACATAACTTTTTAAAGTTTTATCATTAATACCTGTTTGGACTAGGCCTGTCACGATAATACATTTCGCTGGATGATAAATGATCCCAATAATGTTGTTTTTGAGACCGTTTTAAATATCATTACATTAAGAATGATAATTTTATCATTATTGATAATTATTTATTTGTCTTAAATAAACCTTTTGTGTAGCACATTTAACATCTAACTGGAAGATACTTCAAATATACAACATAAAACATAACAACCAAAACCTGTAGATAAAAACCACTTACAACTGGAATCATAAATAAAATAGATTATAAGGTGTCTGCAAGCAAAATTGCCCTTCAAATAATGTTAATCATGAGAATGAAAATGATCAAGCTCATTTTAGTTTGTCATGTAACTGATTGATTAGTTGCTTATTGTAACAGGCTTAAATAAAATGTTACCCACCTTTCTCCTCAATTAGGGGCAGTCTGGTCCAAGATTGAAAGAAATGGTTAAAGTAAAAATAAAGCAAGCTTATGTATTTGGAGGAAACGTTTTCTAAAGGCAGTGCTTCCTTCAATAGATGTCCTCTGCTCATTTGCATCAGTAGCTCAGAACAATATGTAATGTATATTAAAAAAAAACATTGGAGCTGAGCTTATTCTCCGTCACATCAGAGGAAGAGGCAGCTTTTTTGTCTTTTTTGTGTTTGCGGTACTCATCACGTTTCTGATGACACATCTCTACAGTCATGCAGTACTTCTAATTTTGACCAAACATTCTTATATTGTGCTTTTGTTGCCCTTGTTTTATTTACAAGGCTACAAGCAATACACACATGTCTGTGTATTGCTGTGAAAGGATGACACTTTTAGGGTTGGCTAAAAATAAAACCTGAAGCACTCAAAGCAGAGTCCTGCATGGATATGATGCTAAATATGGATTTTCAAGCTTCAAAAGCAAACCTCTCTGGGTTTGTAAAGCCTTGTCATAAAAGCAATATGTTTATTTATACTGCAAGTGCTTTGGGAATGAAGTGCTCCCAGGTTCAAACAAACTCATAGAAACCATTGTCAAGACAGGAAAATATTTATCTGTTGGTACTCAAGGTAAATATGTGTGAAAAGCCTTAAATTCAGCTTAATTCTGCAGTACCACAGTGTAACAAACAATTAAAATCCAGACTTTAATTTAAGCCTTTACATTCAATAAGAAAAAAAAATCCATGTTGAGAAATATCTACTTATTTTTATTAAATCAGACTAAAACACTTTGTACAAACTGCTTTTGTCAACTAGACAGCACTTTGTTTGCACCTGCAACATTTCACAAGATTGACAAAATGGCCTCAAACTGTTGTGACAGTAAAAAGTATTTAACATTCATCAGTCTGTCACCAAAAACCAACATTGCTGTAAAAGTTAAACTTCTCCTTCATCACAGGAGTTGAATTGTTGTAAACTTTACTGCTGAACCACCTCATAGATACATGTAACCATAGCTTGAACTGTAAAAAAAACCTGTTCAAACATCTACAGTAACAATCTCAGTTTTTGTGTTTTGCAAAACATTATCAGTTAGTTTTTATCAAAAAGGGGCCGATTTGTACCATAATCATTTGAAATGTTGCACAACACATGAAAAGTGTGCTGTCGTCAACATTTTAGGTGGATGTTTCAGACGGGGAGCACTCAAAACCAGATTCTGGGGTAAAATGTAATTGTTTTTCATAAGGTTCACAGGAATAGTAACACAACTCATTTTTTAAAAAAACTATTATTTCCTACTGCAGATTTTTTATTTTTATCCCATTGAATAAATGTATTCAAATTCCAAGTTGTACTTTCCTAATTTTTGCATTGTGGTATAATATCACTACAATGAAATCTAAATATGATTTAAGAGTTTTTAGAAGAAGTCAATAAGTAAGTGCTGTAGAATCACCTCTCTAAAGATCTTATCTCAAGACGGCTCCTTTAGCTGAGTAACCACAGTCTCCGCTCATCTTTTGTCCCGTTATTTGGAGTGACCGTCTGATTCACACCTCTGAGGAAGACGTATTGATGCTCCTGAGTTTCACTCCGTCTCCACGACGCACATCTCTTTGCTCGGCATGCGAGCTCTTCAATTTCTCTGAGGCTCAGAGACATGATCAAAAGCGTCACGGAGGCTGATCTAAAGACGCTGCCGCCACCAGCACCCCCCTCCCTACACGATGCGCCAGCATCCTCCCATCATCTCTACCCCCACCCAAACTCGTTCACCCACCACCACCAATCCCCTGAAGGTTTCCTGAGCAGCTAAACTGACGCCAGAGAGCTCTCCATCTTTTTATGTCTGTCTGTCTTTGAGTCTTCAGCAGCTCTCCAAATAAAAAAGCGTGATCAGCCTCAAGGTTGAGGCGAATAAGCGACTCTGTTGGTCGCTTGTTAGTTCACTGTGTCGTACGCGACAAAAGTCTACCGAAGGTTGCTCCGGTTATAGACGTTGTAGCTAGTTGTATGAGCTCCAGCTGCTCTGATCTGGTTGATTTCACTGCCTCACTTTGACAACTAAGTGGCCAGCCGGACCCCCACTCTTCCTCTCTCTGGTGAGTTCTGGAAAAGAGGGCTGATCAGCCGGCTCCTCAATTAAATATAACCCAACATCAAACGACCTGTCAGCATGCGTTAGCGGCCCTTTGTTCAGATAAGAGGCCAAAATAAATTGCCAGAACTATCATCATTTTCTGTGGTTTGCTCAGGCTTTTTATACGAGATATTCTTTGGGGAGAGAAAATCCTGACATGCATAGTGATGTGCTCTCTTTCTACATCAGTTTTTGTATTTAACGGGTTTATTTGCGTGTTTCGGTTTTTCAATTAGCAGACTTAAGCTGGATATCCAGCAGCGCTCATTGTTGGTGCATTGTGAGATTTAATGCGACAGCAACCGACCTTGATGCGTACAGCGATCACAGCGTAACTTCTCCCTTTTTTATCACCCACTTTAGATTTGGCAGCTTCTTTTTATCGCCTGCTTTCACCTCCTCCGTCTGTTTTTTTTCTTTTTTCCTCTCCACTCCCTTTTCCCTATATTCTGCATCTCTGCAGACTGGCTCTGAAAATAGGTCAGAGGCAGAAGTGAGATCTGTGCGAAAACTACCTCGCAATATTAATGAAGTAGTGAGGCTCCAAACCTGCGCTGCACTGTGACCGTAGTGAAAGATAAGAGTCCGTCCAAAGAGGTCAGACGGGATATATGCAGAGGCTTTCATGTGGTCACACTCCGGTTTATGCATACACGTGTGTGTACTTTGGCTATTTTTTAAATAATTTTTTGTCCAGCCCCTGTAAATCAGAATTTAAAGCAGAACGTGTTTAAAAAAAAAAAAAAAGAGAGAGAAAGGTGAACTAGAACCACCAGACGTAAAATATTATCTACAGCAAAGGAACAGTAGCCGAAAGTTGTGATCTCATGTAGCCTGACTTTGTGGCTGAAACTCCCCCCCCCCACACACACACACACAATTTAATATTTTTAACTCGCACCGTTAATGTACATTAGATGTGTTTCAGAATTTGTGTAACGCTGCTGGTTTTTGTGTCACCAGAGCCACAGGAGCAGAGGGGATGAACCGCGAGGAGGCGCCGGCGAAGTCTCCTGAAGACATGTACATCCAGCATAAAGTGCGGGTCCTGCTCATGCTCAAGAAAATGGGTTCAAATGTGAGTATGGTGACCGGACCAGCAGGCTGGTTTTCACATTTTAGGTGCAGGATAAGGACAAATGGGCTCCTATTCCTCTGCCATATACTGGCATATAGTATCTCATTAAATATTCATAGCATGTTTTTAAACTTTTGTCACATTATATTCACAAACTTGGGGGGATTTTACGTCTATCAAACAAAAACTAGTGTGGAAGGAAAATGATAAATCATTTTCAAAATTATTTACCAGTAAAAATCTAAAAAGCGTGATGTGCATTTGGAGAAGTCACCTAAAGGTCTAGCTACATCTAATTTAATCTCAGCATAAATCCAGATGTTCTGTGAAGGCTTCAGATCTTTCCTAGAGAACAAGAAGCATCATGAAGACCAATGAACACGGCAGACGGAGAGAAAAATGTAGAGAAGTTTAAAGCTGTTGGGTTATAAAACCGTTTGCCAAGTTAAGAGTCTGTCATAGAGCCCTGTTCAAGCCATCTGTACGTCGTATGAAATCAAAGAGGATAGTGAAAAACCCTACAAAGACATGGCCAGGTAAGGGTAGCATTATTCAGAAATGCAGCTAAAACGTTTGATGTCAACTCTAGAGGAGCTGCAGAAACCTACAGTTCAGGTGGGAAAGTCTGTGGAAATTAGAAATATAAATTATACATGCCATAAATCTGGTCATTATGGCAGAAGAGCAGCAAGAAAATCACTGTTGAAAGAAAGCAACATGGTAAACGCATGGAAGATGCGTCTCGTCTCCTAAAGCAAAACACTTTGATGAGAACTACAACTGGCACTCCGCCCTAATATTATCCCATGATGGGACACGATGGTGGCAGCATCATGATATTTGGATATGCTGTGGAAGCTGGTTAGAGTTAAAGGAAAGATGGATGAAGCTAAATACTGAAAAATGTTGAAAAATGACCAATTGGAAGTGGCAAAAGATTTGACTGGTTGTGATCGTAATTGTAGCATTTTGTAGTTGGTCAACACAGTAAATGTCACCGAAATGCACTGAAATGTGTGATTGTAATGTGACAAAACGTGAAAAGAGGTTTGAATACTTAAGGATGCTGTATTTCCAGCTCTGCATGGCATACACCAACAGAAACCTCTTTAACTCAGTGACACAAAGAAACATGACTGCAGAGTGAAAATACATGCAAATGTTTCTGACTATGAAATGTCTGAAGAAAAGAAAGAGGCAGAGCAAAAATAATTTCCTTGAGAAAATTGATTTTCAGAGTTGTTATAGAATTATTATTATTATTGAGCAAAGCAGCAGGATGCAGGTCAGTGGGATCAGAGTTTCTGCCTGTTTGTTCTTGTTTTAGGCTTCATAAAGCAGCTCTGTTTACTCTTTCTCAGCTTACACAGAGCGAAGAAGCCTTTCTCCGGAGTTACGCAGGTGTGGTCCACAGTCAGATGAGCCAGCTACCACAGCACAATATAGACCAGGGTAAGGCTGGAACACACACACTTCATAAAGTCAATAATAATTGTGTCCGGATGTTTTTTCTTTTTAAGTGTTTATGTTTTGGGATTTTGTTCCCCCCTCTGCGGTGTAATCCCAACATTGCCGCTCTGACATGCTGCAGAGCTGCTGCTCTGGTTAATCTGAAAACAAGGGAAAATCCCTCCACACACCTCATTCTCAAAGAGTGCACAGCTCAGCAGACCAGACGCGCTCCCTGACTGTGCATGGGAACCATCCAGCCGCCCACCACAGCTTTGAGATTTCTCGGCCAGCAAACACCGCGCATCGCTGGAAACAAGTGACTCACCCTCAGCAAGAGCGAAACACTCGGTCGCTGTCATTTCTCTCTTCCTCGATCAGAAAGTGCTTTACTCTGTAAACCAAATCAGCACTCAGGTCTGCCGTTTTTTGCTTTATGAACATTCATTCTTTTTCAGAGTAGTCCACTAGAGTGCGCTGTTGAGCTTTTTCTCCCACCCACTGGCTGCTTGAGGTTAAACCACAAGATGGCGCTGCATTAAAGCAACAGTGTAAGTGCAGTGGCACTGCAGTTGTCCAGCAGAGAACTGTTCTGCTGGATTTCCAGTCCAGTAATCGAGTATTAGGCAGCAGCCTGCTGTGTCTCAGGTCCTGCTTTCCTGTTCATGACGTTCACACCTTCAGGGGGCGTTGGAAACACAAAATTGCCTGCAATGTCTTAAAGTGTTAGGTTGGTGTCCTTGCCTATGTCCTTTCTCTGTCATGACGAAATCAATACCAGAGAGAAGTGGAAATAATCTCTCTTTTTTATACTCCTATAAGAGATGCAGTTAAGGCTGTGCAGGTTTCATTACAGCCTCACATGTGTTCATTAACCAGCAGAACGTGAAGCATGGCATCATTTAGGAGGTTTATAGCATCTATAATAGCCTCATCAGGGATTCGTTCACAAACGTTCTGCCGTCTTTGCTTTGTCAATACAGTGGAGTCATTTCTTATAAGTTATGTGGTGATTGGAAGAGGTGAAAGGTGCTTCATACATACTGTTCTTCATACATTAGAGAATAGATGCGTTGAACATCCTCCGTGCGCTCATGAATTATTCGTGGTCCAGAACTGGGCGGAGGTATTGTGATTAGGTATTTACACACACGCTGGAGAGGTAATCCGTTTCTAAATATTCAAGGCTGCACAAAGGATGAGGTGTTTCGGTGTGTGTTGGCAAGCCTGAGTGTGTTTGATGGGATTTGCTTCTTCCATTTACACCTTCTAATAATAATAGTACGATAAACTTTAAACTGTATTTTACTGATGAGTTCAAACGTTAGACGGAGCGAACCATTCTGTCATGGCTTTAGTTTCTGGTGTTGGTTCATGTTGTCATACGCAGCAGCTGCTCCATCAATATGCTTCTGCTTCAGTCCAGCAGCAGGGTGTTTTGTTTCTGACGGCGCATCAGTGGTCTGTTAGAAAATAACAAGGCTGTTGGCCGTAGATGTTGCCCAGTGTTGTACATAAAAATGTTTGGTGTTAAAATAGACTGATAATTTTGACCTGAAATTGGTTGTTTGTTTTTTCTTTTTTCTACCCTAGATGCTTGAACTCTGCGTTCCTCATTCTGATGGGATTAATGGCCGTCGTTTTGGGGAGTGGGCAGCTGCAGTTGACCCCCCAAGTGAACTTTGACCTCTCCTTAAAACTTTAAGGAGCGATTTTAGCTACTCCTTAAACAAAATGAATTGCAGTGTTAACCTTGAGGGCAAGACTGTTGCACATCTCTAACTTCTGCATTGTTACAGTAACAGCACAAGCATCTGTTGCTGCAGTGAGTGACGGTTAATCAGCTAATTTGAATGAAATCCATATTTAATCAGAATGTCGCTGATCCAGCAGGCCACGCTGATGTATATAATTAAGGAATCAGATGCTGCAACTGAAGAAGAGAGATGAGACATTATGTTATAGTAACAAAACACTTTATATCACATTTGTCAGCACCAGTATTGTTTATTATAAAGCAAAAATAATGTTTTATTTTCACTTCACTCACCGTGAGCAACCTAAGCACGTCAAAACAATCATGGTGGATAAATTACCTGCTGCAGTGATGAAGTTTGTCAAGTTTTAAAAGATGAGTCTTTCCAGCTGGGTGGTGATGAACAGAAGGTTTACGGTTTCACATAGAAGCACATTGTGATGCTTGAATGTCAGACATGAATTTATTTTAAGCTCCTGAAGGCACTTCGTGAAACTAGGCACATCTGTCTACCAGGATTATCTCAGGAAAAAATGTCTGAGGGAACATTTAGACGAGAAGCTCAGCTCATGTTTGATTATTTTAACACTTTGCAGTTGTGCGTTAAACTCCTACAGAGTGTATCAGTTTCCCAGCTGCCTATTTTTGGTACAGTAGAACAGTGTTTTTCAACCTCTTTTGAGCCAAGGTACACTTTTTTAATTGAAAAAATCACGAGGCACACCACCAACCAAAAATGTAAA